CTGGAGGGGTGGGGGTGGGGGGAGAAGGGGAAGTGAGATGAGATATATATACATATATACATATATTTACACACACACACACACACACACACACACACACACACACACACACACACACACACACATATATATATATATATATATATATATATATATGAGATATATATACATACATACATATGTATATATATGTCTATATATACAAATACAAAATAAATGTATTGCTACATGTGTTCTAACCAGCAATAACACTTTAAGTTAATGAACAGATTCGCAAAAGCAAAAAAAAATCACATCATCCCAATCAACACAAGGATTACCATCCCTTCATTAACTATGATCTCGAAGCCATGATCATCACCCTGTCAATCAGAGGAGAGGAATCAGACAGCTTTTTAATTTCCATTCTTGAAATAATTCGTCCATAAAAGAGCATCAGCGACGACCATTAATCTAAAAACTCAAGGGAGACCAAAAGATTTTTTTTTTTTTTAATGTTGCCAATTAGGCTCGAAATTAAGTGAATATGTCAGAGTATCCGACACACGAGTTTGTTCCCACATGTGTAATTTTCATTGTAAAAGAAGACGAAAAATCTCACGTAGATTTTTTTGCAATCTCGCGGTGATGTTGCGCGTAAGTTGAACGCGTGGCTTGTGCAACATGTTGAGGCCACTGGGCAGGGGAACGATTTAAACATTTCTTAAGCAGTCTGAGGCAAAATTCTTAGATATTGGAAGAACAAGTGAGCTTCCTTCATGCCAAATGTAGTGGTTCACGTAGTCTGTTTGTCTATCTGTCTTTGCTAAACTATCGTATTCTATTCATCTCTCTTTTTGTTTATCTCTGTCTCTGTCTCTGTCTCTCTCTCGGTCTACCTGTTTATCTCTCTTTCTCTGTCTGTCTGTCTTTGCCTCACTACTGTATTCTATTTATCTCTTTCTTTTTCTCTCTCTCTGTCTGTTTCTCTGTTTGTCTGTCTCTTGCTATCTGACTCTCTCTCTCTCTCTATCTATTTATCTGTCTACCTGTCTCTTTCTGTCAGTCTGTCTTTTACTCAGTACCGTATTCTGTTTATCTTTCTCTTTTTCTTTGTCTCTGTCCCTTTCTCTCTCTCTCGGTCTGTCTGCTTGTCTCTCTCTTTCTCGGTCTGTCTATCTGTCTTAGCCTCTCTACCGTATTCTATTTATTTCTATTTTTCTTTCTGTCTGTTTGTCTCTCTTTCAGTCTGTCTATGTCTGTTTATCTGTCTCTTCCTCTTGTCTTATAAGAACAATGGAAAAATAATTTTGCAGCTCAATTGCAATTGCATTTGTCTAGATCATGCAACACCCCCTTGGGTCTCGAGGAAGTTGAAAGATAGTCGGCTTTATTCGTGTTTCCTCAACTAGAAAACTCCATCAGAAAGACTGGAGTTCCACAAACAACGAAGCACACACACATGTGTATATATATGTACACACATAAATATACCCAGACTAATGCACACATACATATAAACACACACACACACGCGCGCGCGCGCACACACACACACACTTTTGTACAAACACACACACACATACACACTCATCCTTACCATGTTTATCAACCTTTGCTTATCATCCTCTTTAAAGCGCCCTCATGCTTACATCTTCACCTTAAGCAAAAATAGCATTTTACTCGCGGCAAATAGAATTCAATAAAATCGACAGTTAAATAAGACACAAAAATGATTCCTCCATTAAGAATTATTTCATTCAGGGTACTTTAAAACAGGTAGCATCAGTTTGTCTCGATGAAATGCCTAGTTGGCAACTGCCGAGCTATGCCACACCTCATCACTTTCTCTTCCTTCTCTGCATTTCTTTTTTGTCTTGCTTTATCTATTTATTTTTCTAAGGTCATTATTGAACCATAATATATATATATATATATATATATATATATATATATATATATATATATATATATATGTATATATATAAATAATGGAAAACACTTGTCATAAAATATAGCAGAGACTCAGGGTAAAAAAAGGGGCGGAGTAAATGACGTCAGCGCGTTTAGCCAATGACGGTGCGCTGTGAGATATCACAGATATCATATGTAGCTATATATGTCATCATCTGTATAATTTTCTCGACTTTGTTATGATTACCAGAAGTGAAACCAAAATTCCACTTCTTTATTTATGAAGAGTTCCTTAGAATTAATATTCTAGCGAAAAAGTAATTTTTATGTGTGGGTTCACAAATAAATGAAAATAGTGCTACCTATCTTATATATATATACTGATCGAAGTGAAACGATTTTAGCCTGTAAAATATGCCATTCTTCCTCTCTCTTGTTACATTGACTCGTTTAAAGTTACACCTCAGTCTAATGCTTCTCTAATACATAACTAAATATTGATAAAACCATGTTGAAAGTCTTACTGCTATTTTTGGTTTAAGGTTAAATTATGGATGTAAGAACGTCCCTGTATGTTAATGCATGGTAGGTAAGATAAATTATTACTATACATGATTTTCATACCTTGCAATGTTAACGTGTGGTTTAGACTTATTCGGTGAACTATTATATAAATCAAAAGCGTTGGGTCTGTGCCTATCTATGGGTGTGTATTCTATATATAACGAGTATTTTTATCGAAAATGAAGCAAAGCTAAAATTTCACAATCTATACGTTTATCCCAGTTGATCCTTTATTTTAACTTTTTTTTTTTATTACGTGACCTCTCCGCTAATGACCTTAGCTGTTGACGAGGCAGATAATCTTAAATAATCAGTCAATCATGTAACCTTCTTTAGGTAGGACTTACCAGGTAATCTTTAAAACGACCTGGCTTCTTCCGCAGACGATCTCCCTTTCAATTAACACGGAGAAGTGTATTAATGAATGTGTTATTGATTTATATTCTTCCAGCATCGTTGCGTAATGTTCAGACGTGTATCGAATGTTCCAGTAATGGCATAGCATCGGAATTTTTAAATCTCTCAGTGGTTTTCTGCAAAGAGATGGTCTTCAACTTCTAGTTCTTCGTGACAAGTATTCTGAAGTCTGGGAATGTTTGTTAGAACATTTGCGAAATGTTTGGAGTTGTTTGAGGTATTTTGCCTTGTGTGACGTGCCACTATCCGGATTTAGAATTGCAGACCCTTCTCTCTGTCTCTCTCTCTCTTTTATCCTTTGTCTCCGTGTCTTTCAAACCCATTAACGATTCCTCTTTCTCTGGCATTCTGTCTACCTGCCTGCATGCCAGTTTCTCTCACAGAAACAGAGAAAGAGAAAAAGTGAGAAAGAGACAGGCAGACAGAGAAATGAAAGTAAAAGAAGTAAAATAATGATAATAATAAATAAAATAAATTAATAAATGCAGAGAACGATATAAGAGAAAAGCTCTCCCTCAACACCCCCCCACCCTACCCTTCACGCGCCCTCAAAAAAAAAAAAACAACTTGGATAGAGGCCCTCTGTTCCTCACGCCCACACTGCCGCCCTTCGCCACCTGTTGAGGGCGTGATGGATGGCCTGATCCTTCACGAGTCATCGCCGTCAACCCTGCGAATTCGTCGATACTCGATTCCTTTTCCCTTTTGCTTATTGCTTAAGGCTTTGGGCAAAGAAAAGAGAACGAAAGAAAGAAAAGTGGATTGACTATAATGATAATAATAATAGTGGTCATGATGGTGATGACAATAATAACGATGATAATGATGATTGTGTAATAACAATAATAATAATATGAATAGGAATAATAATAATAGTAATAATAATAATAATGATAATAATAACAATAATAATAATAATAATAATAATAATAATAATAATGATAATGATAATAGTAAAAATAATAACAATAATTAATAATAATGATAATTAATAATAATAATAATAATAATAATAATAATAATAATAATAATAATAATAATAATAATAATAATAATAATAATAATAATAATAATAATAATAGTAATAATAATAATAATGATAATGATAATGATAAGATGAAGGAGGTAATAAAATGATAAGGATGACAACAAAAACACAACAACAATAATAACAACAGCAACAATAGTCTCACTTACAATAATCATACTAATAACAGTCACAAAGATAATGATAAAGATTATGATGACAATAATAATGTTATCATATGCCTCTGATAACACCAACAATGCAACATGAAGCGTTAATGTTTAAGAAATAAAACACCAGTAACAACAACGCAAACCTAAGGACTAATAACAAATTAACAAAGACAATAATACAAATCACGATGAATCTAATAAGACACTAATACCATAAAATATGTCCTTGTTAATAAAACCTTGTGTCCAAGTATGTGTTCAGTACAAGTCCTTTTGATAGCGTTACATGCATGGGAAGAGACGGATAAAGGAAAATGTTGAAGTTGCACGATAACGGAGGAATTGTTGCATTACTTTGCTCGTTGCAAGTTATTTTGATTATGTTTAGTCCGTAGATTTTAAGTTGTTGTTTATGGTCTTGTTGCTTTTAATTACAATTGGATCGTTAAGTGTGTATTCTATTTCCATAGTAATAATGAATTAATAAGTAATAAATGAAATGATAAAGCGTTTGTCTTATTTTTTGCCTTACCGTTGGTTTAATTTTTTGTTTTATTTAATTTATCATTCTATCAATTCTTTACTTTTTCTCTCTGATTCTTTATTTAAGTTTTCCTTATTCTTTTACTTTATTTTATGCTAGTTCTTGTCTCATCTGCCGCCTATTCCCTTCCACTGTGCAATTCATTTCAAGATTTCTCTTCCTCTGGGTTAGCCAAGCCACTTTTCACGCTCCTTCAGGATTTACGACTTATTCTGTTCCTCCTTCATCCACTTTCTCTTCTTTGTTCTTCCTCTTCCTCCTTTTTCCCCTTATCACTTCTTTCTTGCTCTTTCTGTTCCTCCCCATCCTGAATCTCCTTTTCCTCCTTCGTTTCCTTTCTTCCCCTTCTTCTTCTTCTTCTCATCCTCCTTTCCCACCTTTT